CCTCTATGTATGTATTATATATATATATATATATATATATAAAAAGATATGGTGCGCAGCCTAGTGTAGATAAGCTAAATGCGCCAACGGCCCAAATTGAATCTGGGCCGATCTGACGATCACAGATGCCCGGTAGTGTCTGAATTTTAATTTTTTTTTTCTAAAAATCAGAATGACCTAAAATTTGGATATTGTGTTCATCAAAAATAGGCAAATCTACGAAAAATATTAAAAAAAATATTTTACATGAAAAAAATTGATGAAAATACCCCGAAACTTTGCAAGGGTATTTTGGTCAATTTTTTCAGGTAAAATATTTTTTAAATATTTTTCTTAGATTCGCCTATTTTTTATAAACACACGCTCCAAATTTCAGGTCATTCCGATTTGAAGAAAAAAATTAAAATTCAAACACCACTGAACACTATCGGACATCCGTGATCATCAGATCGGCTCAGATTCAATCTGGGCCGTTGGCGCATTTAGCTTATCTACACTAGGCTACGCACCATATATATATATATATATATATATATAGAGAGAGAGAGAGAGAGAGTCATGATCATGTGAGACCCTCTCATACCCCAACCGCATGAGACCCCAATTGATAACTATAAGATTCGCATCCACATCCCAAGAAATATGGGATGCCAGAGCACCTGGTTAACCTGTCATTTATTGCTTTCCCAACCTTTTTTTAGTACAGCTCGTCTTCTCTGTTGCAAAACTGATTCACTTCTAAACCTCCTCTACTTTCTATTCATGTGCTTCCTCTCTAAATCCCCTCGCATCTCTCTCTCTCTATCGAAAGAGAGAAACCCACAAAAAAACCCATTCGTTTAGAGAGAGAAATTTTGACAAAAAAACCCATTTGGTGCTCTATGGTGCAAAAGCTCGGTGAGGAGCACTCGCTTCAGAGTTTTGGTTGTTTTCCGGCAAAAACTTCATAGGAGTTTTACTGTAACTATATACTAAATCTGATTACTTCTAGAGTTCCCATCGCTGACTTCAGTCGATGAGGAAGTGATTTATCTCTGCCATTACCAGAACAAGCGAATAAAATTCTTAAGTTTTCTTCTCATCAATCAATGGAAGAATTTTCACGGGGAATTCACCATGTTTATATAATGAATTTTACAGTGATTCTTTTGTGGCTTCTTTCAGCATAAACGGGTGATTATTGCCATAAAAGTTTTCCATTTTATCATTAGAACGAGAGAGAAATCTGTTTTTTTTTTATTGGCATATTGAAATTTAGAAATTTTGGTGACAAAGAATTGAGAAATACGCTTATGCTTTTTGAACTGTAAAATAATTGGATTAACTCGTGCAGATGTTGAATACTTACAGGCCTGTGTTTCCTACACCTTTCCTCTAGACTAATGGGGTCTTTCTTTGTGGGTTTCTGTCCATTGAGAGAGATTTTCCTGTACTTTTCGTTCTAAACTAATGGATCTCTTTCTTTGTGGGTTTCAATCGATAGAGAGAGAGAAAGAGAGAGAGAGAGAGAGAAAGAGAGCGTTTCCACTACTTTTCTCTCTAAACTAATGGATCTCCTTTTTTTTGGGTTTCCGTCAATAGTGAGAGAGAGAGAGATGCGAGAAAACAAACATTGGGATAGAAAGTGGAGGAAGTCTAAAGGGAAAGGGTTTTGCAGTAGAAAAGATGGGCTGCTATTATGCCAAACAAAAGGGTTGGGAAAGCTATTCTATGACAGGTTAACCAGATGATCCGGCATCCCATATTTCTCGGGATGTGGATGTGAATCCTATGGTTATCAATCGGGGTCTCATGCAGTTGGGGTATGGGAGGGTCTCATATGATTTTGAAACCCACTTGTGTATACAAGTATACGCTCAACAGCCCAAATTAGAAGGGTAAAAAATGGATAGCCATGATCACATATATTTTCTTGATTTTATTTTTTTACGCGTCCAATTAACTTGAAAATAGGGGTGGCCACTGATCTCAATCAGTTGTACCCAAATAATAGTAAAAAAATTGACCAAAATTAAAATTCCCATACGTACATATATAAATATCACTAACGAAAACATGAGACACTGAAAATAAATCAGTAAGTGGAGAATGCTTCACTTACTATCGTCAACCATGTCGATGAAGTCTACCACAATAATCCCACCAATATCTCTAAGACGCAACTCTCTTGCAATCTGAAACATTAAGTACTACTTATGAGATTGCCGTTCTTATAGACATTATCATAACCTGTAATCAAATAAGGCATCCAATAATAATGGGCAACAACCACATAATTTATCAAAACAACATATCCCTAGACAAACAAAGCCAACTTCAACAGCCCTAAACATGGCCAGTTTCTTCTTTGAATAGGTAAATAACTTGGCATGATAAAATTCAGAAAACAACCATGAAGGTTTTTGACAAATTGTTTAATCTTAGTACATCGCTAAGAGCAGTTCTTTGGGAAAGTTCAACCAAACTTTTAAACTCTTTGAATTTTGAGAGGAACATTATAATACCATCAGCTCTAGACAACTCTAAAGCTAGAGACATGATTCAAAGTTCTGCCCATCCAATAAGCCCTTAGCACTAAACACAAGTGCAGGTATTAGCATAGATCAAGAAACTGTCTTAGTACTAAAAGCACAGGGGTCACAAATATGGGAACTCATGTTTTAACGGCGGATAGGACTTCCCATCATTCAAGTGAGAAGAGGTGAAAGGGGGGGGGTAAGGAGTCGAGAGGAGTAGGATAGGGAAGATTCTCCAGTTTGCTGAGCAGGTACAGAAATTTGACATGTCACTTGTTGTAATTCTTCCCAATACAAACTTTATATTAGTTATCAATAAAAAGTTCATAATGCTCTTTTGATATTACAAGGCCACAAAATAGAAGCTTCCGAAATTATTTGTACCACATTCAGTTTCTACTACCACTTTTTCCTGTTAGCAAGTATGACACTAAAAAGCATGTTGAAATTGAAATGTACAACAAAACACAAATTGGTGATCCTAAAGTTTAGTCCCTATCAACTTGATCTAAAAATTTTGCATCAAATTTAAAAAGTTTAGAAACTTATAAATTGCAAATTCATTTCTTTAATTTTCAAAATTTCCAAACATACCATGGGATCTGAATGACATAATATTTTTTAAGCATAGATGGAGTGTAAAAAGAGAAGTATAAAGCAATTCCACTTTGTCTATGACATGAGATGCCATCTTAATAATCAACTTAGGTTGGTTTGCGACATACTTGTTTAGCAGCTGCAAGATTGACTTCAAGAATTGCTTGTTCTTGAGATGTTTCCTCTCCAAGCATTCCAAGCCCTCCATTCACATCAATTGATACCAATGCCTCGGTCTGCTCAATGATCAGGGAACCACCAGTCGTAAGTGGAACCCTGCATGAGAAGCATCAAAACAGGATATGCCAAAATATAAATTACCCAAAATACCTCATATTGCCACAAAAAGAAGAAAACCCTACACAAAAAATAGAAGATATTGATTCTGGAGCAGAATACTACTATCCAATGGAGTATGGTACACCTTACTCCAAAGAGCATCCATCGCGCATTCCTGCTGATGGGCAGTGAAGCTTAATAGCATTGGGTTCAAAAGGATATTCAGCCAGGTATGGTTAAATTTCAGTCTGCTCATCATCAGGAATTGACAGCGATGTCATTCAGAGTGCTAATAGATTGGATCATTGTGTACTTGTCAATTTATCAATTATGCAATACCATGTGAATTTGATTAGCAAAAACAGATTAAGTTTTAACATATCACACATGCGCACATGCATGGTGCACAGAAGTCTAAGACGAAAATAACCTTGAAACACACCAGTGTTTGTAAACTGGGCCGAGTCCACTCAGACACACCAGAGATACTCGGGCTCAGCACCTTGCTGAGCTCGAAAGCTCCAAACTTCCCTGCTGAAGCATATGAAGTATAGGAACAGAGTATAGTACATGGGTGAGTATTGTACAGACTCGCCTGAAAACTGTAAAACTCAGGATATTTCTCCCATTTTCGATTTTAGACAACCTAAGAGGCACCTATTTGAGCTTAAGTTTCACTTATAGGGTGATTTTTACACGTTCTATCCACTAGCTAGATCAGATTTGAGAAAAACACCAATTTTGACAGATTGAAGAGATTGAAGTTTTCAATCTAAGTTTTGCCCCAGTTTAAAAACTTACCATTTCTTCACAACGGGGCGGTCGATTTTCGATGAAATTTGACCCCTAAGCCTATTTTTGGATTTTTCATCCAATAATATGTTTCTTTTTCACAAGAAAACTCTAACAAAAAAAAAATCTGAGATTTCAATTTTCAGAGTCACTATTCATCCTAAATTTTAAGAGCTCAAATCTTCAAGATCCAAAACTCAAGAGCCAATACTGCTCCAGGGTTTTTCTTGAGGTTGTCTAAGGAAGCTTTGACTTCCTTCAGAGAATGAAGATTGGGAGATCCGTCGAAATTTTTGGTGAGTTTCATTTTTTCAATTTAAATTCATAAATTTGATTGTTTTTATTTAAATAAATTTTATTTGATTTATAATTAACTTTTCTATACTTTTTATGACTTCTCTTTTTTTGTTTTAGTATTCTTTCCATTGTTTAGATTTT